TCTAACATGCTCAAGGTGGAGGAATAAGGCTACCTTACTAAGTATTAGAACTCATGTACAATGCTTATGCCCTTTGCAATGTATACAAGTCATACATTCTAGTCGAGTCCGTATGGAACTTAACGCTTGGCTTCAGGGTGCCCGCTTGTATCTTCTTATCGAGCATATGCTAAGAAAAACAGGAGAGGACGACACATCAAAGAGGAAATACTGCCAAATATCAGTCAGTCACCTACTACCCACACCATTTTCGCTTATGGCCATCAAAGGGAAAGGGATTAGCTAGATGAAGATACAGATGAATGGGTACATTGGGGGTTTTTAGCTCAATGACTTGTCTATGATGGCAAACAAGGGTGGATCCCTAGGTAAGAGTATATGAATTGCAAGGCCTGCAATGACTCTTTCCTAACCTCCATATTGTGTACTTGGGGATTTCTGAGGCAGCCATGGTCTTTGTGAGTTTTCATAGTCCTCAGAGCATTGCTCTCTTATGAATTAACTTATGAATTTTTACCATCTACATTCTGCTGTGACAAGACTTCAGCAACTTAGCTGCTCAATGTTTGTAGTTAATTAGCCTTCTCCTTTTGTGGATTTTGAACTTGCCACCTGGTAATGGGATTGCAAATGGTAAAACAAACAAACAAACAAACAAAAGCCTCTTTGTTTTTAAATTTTAAAAAGCTATTTTAAATAATACTGTGTAAAAGGATGTAATACACAGATTTAGCAGGGGAAGCTTTCACTCCAGGTATGTGTGGGAGGGGTGTCCCATGACACACAGTGTGTTCATGAAGCTGCACGATGATGTCCGCTTTCACCCCCCATTTTGAATGGACCTGCACCTGCCACTGCAGCAACAACTGCATTTTCTCTTGTCTTTGTAACAGTATTTAAGTACAGTTAATCACTGAAAGAACATTGAATTTTAGTGGATTTGCCTGTCCATAAATTTCCTCTGTTTTTTACTGATGCTTCATATCAGTTTATACTTATTATACTGAGAGTAACAAGTTTTTTTAAGACATGAGCAGTAAGTACTAGTATTTAAACTTGTAAGTTTTAAATATACATATATCCTCACTGCAACTTTTCTCTTTTCTTCTCCTTGCAAGTCTTATTAGCCAAAGCAAAGGAAAGAAGAATGGAGAGTGACGGGAGATTCAATTTGCAAGTGCTGGAATGCAAATTCAGTGATACTAATATCAACCCCTACTGAATTTTTGCATTTAAGCTGCTGATAAATTTCCTCATGCTGAGAAGAGTAATTTCATTTTGTGAGGAACAGAAGGAAAGCTGTTTTAATGTAGTGGCCAAAATGAGAAACCATACTGGACCACAAGAAATGGATTTTAACTTTTATTTTCTAGGTGATTTTTTTAAATGTAAAATAAGATTTTTCCTTGTAATTCAGAGTAAGGTAGTTAAAAAAACATTATAATGTGCCTTTCAGTTATGGTTTGGCTGGTTTTGAAAAATAAACTATGATAAGCTTGATAAGCGATCACAATAATTTCAATAAATAAGTTAGGTGAGTGACTACAGTTTTTAACTGGATCAATAGTCTGTTTGCTTGCAATATTGCTAAGAAATACAACACACATGGCAGATCTTGAACAATTCCTATGTTCATCTGTAGCTAAGCAGAGCAGTCGTAAACATTAACAAGGAATCTAAATGTATTTCTCTGAAGATAATTTAAACATATATAAGATTTTTACTGTGATTGTGGTCAGGTTTCGTAACAGCAATGAAAAGTAGACCACATTCAAGCCAGTGATTTTAAAACCATAATGTCTCCAGTTGGCATTGCTTGATAAAGAGAGAAAAATGCAAAGGACACAATTGATTGGGCAAAGGTGGAAACAAATACCTAGCCATCTCAAGAGGGTTATACTATACAAAGGGAAGAGAACATAGAAGAAAGTTACAGTGGCATAAGATGTTATAGCAGTGTAGGAGGTGTTTGATTACCATAAGACTTTTTTTGTCAAATGTGTTTTCAAATGGTACTTTTCCCTCATATATTCAACAAAAATATTTTAAGTGCATGAGCTGTGCTTGTTCTTGAAAGATGTTTTGTAGTACTCATTTTGATGCCTCAACAGCAAAATTCCACCAACTGCTACTGTGTAGAAATTACTATAAATCTTTGTATCTATTTTTCATTCTTAAATAGACACAGGTTTTGTGCACTGATTATTTTGTATTTGGTCTTTTCTAACAATTTCTTAGATGGTTGCTACTGGGTTCCAAAATACAATCTGTAAGAATGCTATTTAAATAACAGCTTCACAGTATACTAAAAGCTTACTACAGCTTGAATTTATAGGGAGCAAAGAGACTTCTGTGGGAAGCTGTCAGTGCATAAAGGCTTAGAGGAGTCCTTCCATAAACTACTTTTTGATCTTTAAGTCTTTTTTTTCTTAAATATTTTTTCATTTTAACTAGTAAGATTCTGTATTCTGAATGTTGTGACGTATTGTTTTGTCCCAGGCTCCATCTTTCTCCATCTTTATTTGTCATCACTATTAATGGCATGACTGATCATTTGGTCAATCAGTGCTGAGCTCTGACATCTTCTTTGCTGTGACTTTATCAGACATGCAGCCATATTAAAATCGATAGAATAAAGATTACCTAATCTATTCTGATAGTTTGTCTGTGTCCATTTCCAGTGAAATTTACTGAAGACGTCATTTATTAAAGTAGTTTGGAATGCATGTTTGGATGGTGTGGGACTAAGCAGTAACTATTCTCTTTTAAATCAAATAAAGGTTCTGGTGTTTAGCAGCTATTAACCTCAGGGCCCGTGAATCAACTTCTGCTTGAGGAACAAAAACAGTTGATTCACAGACAGTTAGAGGACTACTCTTCTATGCGGAATTTAGACTCTGAAAAGCCTTCTCTGTTCTTTTAAAATGTGTTTTTAATAGTTTTAATTAAATAATTATTATTTTTCCTTCAGCATCTTATGACCAAACTAGTAGAACCATACAAGGAATACTTTTATCTCAACAACTTTCTGTGATCAAATGCTTTTTTTAAAAAAAAATCATTCTCATAAATTGCTAATTGTGGGGTTTTTCTGTGCCTTATATTTTCCCTATCTTATAGTTAATGTAACAGAATAAGTACAAAGTCTCTGTTTCACTGCTTGCTGGTCCAACTCTATTTTGGACCTGTTCATCAAAAGTGATTACCATATGCAGTATGTTAGAAGTAAGAAAACTGCATCTTTGCATTGGTGTGTTCAGCAAAATAAATCTTTGTCTACCAGAAAAGGAGGTCTAGGGGAAAGCATATATCTTTCTGTAGATGGTTATGAATGGATATAGTGTTATTCATACTCTATGGTATTAAAAGATTTTGAAATGTGAAAACCAAGGTGCGAATATACAACCAATAGAAGAAAAACTTATATTTTCTTCTAAAAAATGAAAAATTGTCAGTACAATGGAAGAGATGATCTCTATTCCCTGATAGTAATGTGATTTTATTTGGTGAATTAAATACTTTAACATTCAAACAGTCGTATAGTTTGTCCATACAGATCCAGATTACTTCCTAGAAAAATAATTGAGCATCTTTGGTTTTATCCTTTAAATAAACCCTAAAACCTATTATAATTCCGTAAAGGAGGATTATTAAACTAAACAATAGTAGCATGTTTAATGATGATCTGCTAACAAAACATTCTAGCTAATCTCTGATTAGTGATCACATTTTGATACCAACCCAAAACATAGGATAACTGAATCCCTTAAGACATAGGCTGTCTTCATTTCATTTCTTTAGTGATTGACAGTGGCTAAGGCAAACAGATCTTGAACCAGAAGATGAATCAGTCACTCTGGACAAAAACAGATTAGGTCTTTCCAAAGTGCCAGAAGTACTTACACGGTCTTTTATGTAATGGACTGTAGACTTGCAGACGTGGTAGTAATATTTTTCATCCTTGCTTATTGTACAAAACCTGATTTTTTAATATTTTAATTTTGTTTCAATCATCCTTGTATTTCAGGCATTTTTATTTTTGCACAGCTATCTTTGTCAAATACTCAAATTGAAGCCAAACATATACAGAAAAAAAGGTTTAATAAAGGGTCCCTTTACACAATACAAGTAGAAATTCCTTTGAAGAGAGTTGCATTTTCTTTACAATAATAATAAATGGACATTTGTATCCATTGGAGAGGCAGACAAAATGAGTTTCTTTCAGTATATCCCTGGGATCCTTTGGGGTAGTTTCTCACCACAGCAATTTCCATTAAAAAATAGTATTTTATATCTGTATTATATATAATATTACAATTCATATTTCTACCCCAAAAAAAGAATCCTTTAATCATAATAGGAGCATGGGACACGGTTGCAAAGTAAGGACTTAAGAATCTGTCTACTGATTTTTCATCCTTTGTCTTTTGATATAGTAGGTCAGATGCACCACAGATCTTTTAAGCTATTTACCCTTTGAAAAGGGATCTAAAAATCATTGTATAGTCACCACACACAGCCAGTATGTTAGCCAGCAGTGTCTGCAGTGCTGGTAGCTACAGCAAATTACTAAGGTGCATTAGAAGCCTTTTATCAGCACTGGTGTTTTCTTCATGCTAGAATCTAGCGTCTGACAGAGGGGTATACCCAGTTACATTGGGGCCTGTGGGTATTGTAGCTATGATGTGAGTTAGTGTGGGTTTATAAAGCTGTAAACTGAAAACATATTTTGACCATGAAATTAATTTGAAACATTGAAAAGGATTAAAAAATTGATACGACACTGATTTGTGACATATATGCTTAATGATAATTTCACTGTGCAGAAGCACTACCATGTTTCTATCTGATATAACTGTTAGAAATGCTAATACTTGATGCCATCAACATCACACCAAGTTTAACCTGAGACATCCAACGTTATTCTTTTTCTTTTTTTTTCTGTAGTCAATAAATAAAGTATCAATAGGTAGTTAATCCATCTCCTTTTATACTTGCAGACGGTTTGACAAATCTTTGGAAAAGTGGCAGCTTTTTCATTGTGACTTGAAGAGCTTTAATCATTGGCTAACTGAAACTGAAGAGAAGCTGTCGAGAGCACAGATAGAGGCTGGAGACGTGGGTCATGTGAAAACCAACCAATTTCTCCAGGTATGACTTGATTAACGCATTTCCTGTTTTTCTGCAGTGATTAGGAATTTGCAAGTCTGGGTACCCTGTACAGTTTTGCAGTTCATTTAAGGAGGATTTCTAGTGTTGAGTGGCCAGTGGCAATTCTGGTCAGATATTTCTGTTGTCCATGTTAACTAAGAATTTTCACTAGTTTGTTTTAAAATAAATTTTTAAAAGAAGTTAAATATAGGATAACGTGGTACATTGTGGTACTTCCATAGTTACATATCTGTTCGGTCTTTATTTAAAGTGCTCATTAATTTCCATTTGATACTTATGACCAGCAGAAGTATCAGACTTAATTTTAAAATCTTATGGAAGAAATATGATTAACCATTGAGCTGTACAAGAGATATTCCATGAACTATGTCTTGCAAGTATTGCTTATTTTGCCTGTTTCATGTTTTAATCAAAGAACCTTGAGGATGCTTTTTGTGAAATGCAGTGTGACAGAACAGCCACTTAGTTCCTATATGTCCAGTTCCAATTTGTACGCTTTTCATCTTGCAAGCTCTTTGAGCATCATAAGGAAAATAATAACTCTAGTTTCTTGATAGTTTATTTCATTTCCCTCTTGTATGATTGAAATGGTAATGGGTATGAAGAATTAATTCTAAACTGATGTTTTGCAAGTTGATAGGTTCAGCTGAATAACATGGCTTGACTAAACTCTGGATTCATGTTATAAATTACTACCTGTGCATAAGAAAAAAATTCTGTTAAACTATTCGGCATTTGTACATTTGAATTGCTGGATTGAATTACTGGATTTCAGGTTGAAAGAAGTTAGGTCTATCTAATATTAAAGGTACAGTTTTGTTTTGAATGCAACACTAATCTACTTTTTGGCCTATGGTTAAAAAAATAAATCATGTCTTTTGAATTTTAATATTTAAAGTCACCTTTTTAAGATTTAGGCTGTTATTTCTTGACTGTAAAACTGCTGAACTGAAAAGGAAACCAAGTCATGTGGTGCAAGTATAAAAGAGAGATATAACTGTTAAGTAATACATTAAGCTGAAGTAGTTAAAATAGCAGGTAAATATTTTTCTGCAAATGACTATCAACTCTTTGAACAGTGAAGAAGCCTAAGATCTGGCTGACAAAATAGAATGTCATCAAGGAATTAAAGATATTCTTTATTGTGTATGTAAATAGTAGAAGATGTGTATTTCCACTGAAATTTTGTCTCCCTTTGTCCCGCAGTTTTAAGCATTCCTTTGAAAAACATAAAAAATACTAAAGTAAGCCATGAGTATCTATGTGATGAATAGTAATACAGTGTCACAAAGCCTTACCATTTCTTCTTTGCTTTGCCTCTGCTCCGTCACCCTTCTCGGAACTACTCTGGTACCCTTGAGCAGTTTCGAATGAGCACTGAGTAAAAAAACAGATCTGTGGAAAAAGTGTTTGTCTCCTTTTTTCTAACCCCTTTCTAAAACAATATTTTCTCTCTGAGAAGATGTTGATTTTTAAGAGTGCCCAGACCAAGGTAAGATGTATCATAGATGTTATAAATGCACTGGGTGTGTAGCACATTTCACAGTCCCAAAAGATTAGAAACATTATTTACTTGTCATCACTGAGAAAGAAGTTCATACTGAATTGAACATCACACTGAAAGACCCTGAGATAATGCCTTGTTATGCAGAAGCTTAGATTTCAGTGTAGAACAAGACTGCTTCTCTTTTACATTTCCCTTTGACCTAGACTCATTCTCATCTGTTATCCATTTGTTACTTTCTTATGCAATATATGAAAACATTTTGAACATATGTTTGCAGAATGGATTTTTACCAAGATTTTCTTTTTGCAGTCCATCAAGCTTTTTCTTTCTTCCTTTTTCCCTTGTGTTAAAAATCCCAGGAACTCACAAATTTGTCTCTCAGTACTACAGATGAAACTACCTTTCTAATGAAAATTCACAGTGCAAAAATATTCCAACTAACCTCAAGAATGCAGACCCAATGTTAGTTAACATTTATTTGTGAAAGAATGTTTAGTCTGAAGTTGCATTGTTCCCATTCTCTTCATTGGTTCGTTCTTTATTTTGCTAGGTCTTGTTTGAAAAGTATTAGGCTTCTGTGAGGCTGACAGAAGAGATCATTAGAATTTCCATTAGGTAAACAGTTAAAACAGCTGAGCATTTTGATTTACTAGATTAGCAACTTGTTTTATTAATGAGATCATGCTGCTTAGTGAACCGTATTCAGAATTAACAGGATTTGTTTGAAATTGCTTTCACAAGCAAGTGAATAGTCTTGCATTCAACAAGGAACTGTTTTAGAAAAAAAGTTATACAAAACAATCAGATGTGTAATGCTATTTCTAGGAAGGACTACTTTGGAAATATAAAGACTAATGTGTTCATTAACATTCAGTAAATACATAGAGTCAAATGTTAATGTAAAATGAAACAGTCAACAGTATGATTAGGTGATTATGTTAATATAGGTTAAGAGGTAATTACATTCTTTTAGGTGTATTTGAGGAGGAGAAGTGTGTTCCTTTTTGCTGCACAATGGCATGATATTAAGCAACATTTATGCATTATATATAATGTGAATGAAAACTAATAATAGAATTGTTTCATTTCAGGTCATGAATACTCAAATACTCTTATTGTGAATTTTTCACTAAGACTTTTTGAGAGCAGAACTTGAGGTGTTGAAAAGAAATATCACATTTCAGTTTTTAAGAAATTATAATTGACTTCTTTTATGATTAGGAGACACAGGATTTAAAAGGATGTTTTACAGATAGCACATCATATAATCCCTTTGAAACATATTGAACTCTGTCTTGAAAGTAGTTAAAGATTTTTTTGCTCTCATTATTCTGACTGAAAGGTTTTTCTGTCTCATCATTCCTTAATGCTTGGTGACTTTAACTTCTTCAACTTCCTGCATTTGCCCTTAGTTTATATATTTTTGTGCCAAGACTGAGTTGTAGTTCAGTTTTATCTATTCCCTGATGTTTATCCCCTTCTGTTCTTATAGGCTACAGTCATTTTCCCTATTGGATCTCATTTGGTAAACTAAAGCCACAGTTTTCTAATCTGCTTTCATATGATAGCTAGACAACTTGACTCTTATTTCCTGTGCCTATTCCTCTTTCTGAACATGAGTTCTCAAAATAGCACAGTATTATCCAAACTGAAAGACTACCCATACCATCATTAAGATGGCTCAGGTGCTGTATTTTATGGTTGGAGCTTACCATGGCTGAATGTTAGAATATCATTTACAATCATCTATCTAAAATTTGTTATTTCATTTTTTTTTTCTTGAGGTCTGCCTTGCAGCCGCAATCTATATTCCATTTCATATGCAATAAAAAAAGTACAGGATGTACTGGAAATTAATGCCAGGTTAATATGCAGCAAAGAAGCAAACAAGATTTAGTGGGTGAGGGGGTGCAAGGGGAGGGGGGTGGTGGTTGTGTGCCATAGATAAATTCTAAAAAGACAGCTACAAAAAGAGGAATTCTTCAACAGTTTCAGAACTAGACTGTCAAGTTACACTACAATCATTACCTGAGAATTTAAAAATAATATTCTTATTTGAAAAATATAGAACATCCAGAATATTTGTTCTTTACACTGATAATAAGAATTGCTCAGCAGTCTGTATTTAGTATCCACTTTTGGGTTGCAAGTTTAACTTTATTTTATTAATTTGGTGGTGTGGGTGTTTTAATAGTAAAATAATTAGGTTCTGGGTCTGAATTTTGATGTTTGTCTATTGTGACTGGTCAGCAAGGGGTACTTCCCACTAAACACTAAATTTTCTATAATTTCATTGTTTCAAAAATATTGCTTTTATATAATTATTAATTTCTCAAGTATTTACTTTCATTTACAGGCATAAATATGGAGGATATTATGTTTATTTTTTAAGACCATAGAGGACCTTAAATGATTAGTAAGATTTTGAAATTACTGAGTGGTGGCCTTATTAATTATACTCAGCCTTCTGAGGATACTGTGGATACAGAAATTGCTTGTAAGTTACAGATTTCTCTTAAATTGTTCATACATTGAATTGTCCAGCATTTACATTTTAGACTACTTATCCAAGTCTGCAAAAGGCTTGTGAATGACTCATGCCTTCTCTAGACCTTCATCCTACTGCACTATAATGTCAGGAATGTCATGTTTTTGTCTTGTAGATGTTTAAAGTAAAAAGATATAGAGAATCGAGGCTTCAGTGCTGAAAGTCACGGTCATGCTAATAATTTCTCTCTTTTATATCTAAATTGGATTATATGGATATTGATGATTTAATAACCACGAAATTCAAACAGTTCTTTCTGGAATACAGCACAAATGGAATCAGAAGATATGGGAGAAAAAAAAACCTGTTTCAGTACTTGAGGCCGCATATTCTCATACCACAAAAACGCAGTAGTAAGTGGCTGGATAGTTTATTCTGTTTTCCCGCAAATATAAAACTTGTAAAAATACATTTTTTTATATAATAATTGTGGCTTTCATCTTTTAGGTTTTGTATTTTAGATTTATTTCCTGCTTTACTGAGTGATAAAGATTATGCCAATAATCTCTGATTCTTCTTGTTCCAGTTTGGATTCCATTTGGATTCAAACGGTTCAGTTTTGTTCGTTTTGGATCAATTTTGTTCTGCCTCATTCAATTTTGACTAGTGTTTTTTGGTGGTGTGAAATATTTTCGGAGACATAGTAGAAATGCAGCAAAAAATTTTTTCTGGTCAAAGAGATGTCTATGATTGCTTAATGATTCTACAATCAATAAGAAACCAATTTAGCATTGTTTTAGAGGAATCTTTAATTAGAATGATCGTGGTGCATACTACAATGTCCTTCATATTGCAAGGACATATCTGGGAGAATATATATCTGGCAGGAATGTACTATTGGCTAATATTTTATTAATACCAAAAGTACACAATCCCTTGCTATTATGTTGA